TGAATGCAGCGTACTTGTTGGTTTTTATTATGTTACATGTTAGAGCTGAGGAATGTTTTGAAACTTAATTCAATGTAATTCATTCTGAAACAATAGAAAACTAGTCACAGGCTATCAAAATAAGGTCCTTACACACGTTACCTCTTCCCGGGCATTTCAAGGCTGGGGCCGCTGGCCTCAGGGGACTGTGCGGGGCCGGGTGTGGGCCCGAGCCCAGCGGGCTGGGGGCCCCGGGAGCCCCCGGGGAGGCCTCTGCTCAGGGCCCTCTCTCTGCCCGCAGTTCGACGAAGGCCGGAACGACTTCGAGGGGGAGGTCACCAAAGAGAAGCTGCTGGAGTTCATCAAGCACAACCAGCTCCCGCTGGTCATCGAGTTCACCGAGCAGGTGCGGCTTGCCGCGGGCCTGTCCCGGTGGTGGCGGGGGGCCCCGGGCGCTCCCGCAGCCCCTGGCCCGGCCCGCGGCGAGCCCTAGTAACCCGTGTGCGTGGCACAGACGGCCCCGAAGATCTTCGGCGGCGAGATCAAGACGCACATCCTGCTGTTCCTGCCGAAGAGCGTGTCCGACTACGCAGGCAAGCTGGGCAACTTCAAGAAAGCCGCGGAGAACTTCAAGGGCAAGGTGCGCGGCCCTCCCTGGGGTCAAGGGCGGGGCCTCGGCCTCCCACCGCCCTCCTGCGGCTGTCCTCAGCGCCCCCTCTCTCCCCCAAGATCCTGTTCATATTCATCGACAGCGACCACGCCGACAACCAGCGCATCCTGGAGTTCTTCGGCCTCAAGAAGGAGGAGTGCCCGGCCGTGCGCCTCATCACCCTGGAGGAGGAGATGACCAAGTACAAGCCCGAGTCCGACGAGCTGACCGCGGACACGATCACGGACTTCTGCCGCCGCTTCCTGGAGGGCAAGGTCAAGGTGCGAGCCACGCCCGGGCTGGGCCTGGCCCACCGGCTCCTCCTTTCCCAGTGTGGCCCCGAAGCCGTGTGCTTGGGACTCTGAGGACGGGCCCCTGGCAGCGGGAGAGCGACCTCTGCTGCCACCCTGCATGGGCAGCGCGGGGCAGCGCGGGGCGCCCGGGGGCTGTGGTTGCCACACCCCTGACCCTGGCCCACCCGCCCCGCAGCCGCACCTGATGAGCCAGGAGCTGCCTGAGGACTGGGACAAGCACCCCGTGAAGGTGCTGGTCGGGAAGAACTTCGAAGAGGTTGCGTTCGACGAGAAGAAGAACGTGTTTGTGGAGTTCTGTGAGTGGGGCCGCTCCGGGGGGGGGGGGCGGGCTGCCGGCCCCGGGGCACCGACTCCGGCTCTCCCTCTGCCGCCTCCAGACGCCCCGTGGTGCGGCCACTGCAAGCAGCTGGCGCCCATCTGGGACAAGCTGGGGGAGACGTACAAGGACCACGAGAACATCGTCATCGCCAAGATGGACTCGACGGCCAACGAGGTGGAGGCCGTCAAAGTGCACAGCTTCCCCACGCTCAAGTTCTTCCCCGCCAGCGCGGACCGCACGGTGCGCCCCGGGCCGCGGGGCAGGGGGGTGCCTGCCGGGGGTCGGGGCGGGGGGAGGTGCCGCCGGGCTTGGCTGCTCACGCCCCCCCTTCCCCCCCCCCCCCAGGTCATCGACTACAACGGGGAGCGGACGCTCGAGGGCTTCAGGAAGTTCCTGGAGAGCGGCGGCCAGGACGGGGCCGGCGATGATGACGTGAGTGGTGATCCCCCCGGCCGGCCTCTGGGGCCCCGGCCTGCAGGCCCCCGTCACGGCGGCCGGGCCAGGAGAGGCCGCCCCTCGCGCCGATGCCCCTCGCCCATCAGCACCCGTGCGTGGGGGGCCGTGCGGGGGTCTCGTGAAGCCTTAGCACCACCCCGCACGGCTCCCTGCTGGACGCTGAGGTCCTCCCCCAGCCCCTCGCTGGAGGCGCCCTCCGTGACCCGCAGTCAGCTGTAGGGCAGCAGAGGGGGCGTCAGACTCGGTCGCAGGCCCCGAGGGTGCACGGGGTCAGGGGGCTGCTGGCCAGCAGGATGTTTGTGTCGAGAGCGGAGCCCACCCGGAAGCCCCCGGGAAGTGGGCGAGGAGCCCCCCTCTGGCTGCCGAGCTGGGCGTGACCGGCACGGGTGGCCCGTGGTCGTCAGGCCGTCGCTGGCCCCACACCCCCTGAGGGCTGGAGAGGGCGGACCCGTGGGGGCCGGCCGTGACCTTCCACAGACCCCCCCGCCCCCCGACCCTCCGCCCAGGACCTGGAAGACCTGGAGGAGGCGGAGGAGCCCGACCTGGAGGAGGACGAGGACCACAAAGCTGTGAAGGACGAGCTGTGAGGCGGAGACCAGCCGGGCGCCCCCGCAGCTCCATTGCCGGCCGCGCGCCCCCCCGGGGAGGACGGAGCCCGGTCGGAAACACAGGGAACTCTCTGACGCGACACCTCGCCCTCGCACTCACGTCCGCTGAAGCCCGTCCCTCCCTCTGCTTCTCAGGCCCCGGGCGGGGCTGCCCCGGGCCAGCCGGCCCCGCGGCCTCTGCGCGGTGAGACGCCCGTGTGCGGTCTCGCCTGGAGCAGCCGGGACTCGCGGCCTCGCTCGGGCAGTGCCACCTCCCTGTCGTCCTGGCACTTCGGCGAGACGCTGCCTGGGGGGTTTCTGGACATTTCGGGGTATCAGGGTGTCTGTCCGTCCCACCTCGGCCGGGCCGCCCCGGAGACAGATGTCCCCAAACGGAGAGGGACTGCGCCCGCCGGACAGGCCCCTCCCACCTGTGCCGGTGTTGCCGCGACCGCATGCGGTTCCCGAGCCGTCTGGTCAGCGCAGACCCCAGGCCCTCTGTCCCCGGGGCCCTGCCACAACACGGGCCGTGGGCGCCGGCTGGGCCCAGACAGGGCCCCTCCCACAGCCAGCGCCCGGCTGCCCCGCGCCCAGCAGAGCCCGGGCCCCCGCCTCCGGGCCGCACGGCAGCCGGGGTCTCGACCCCTCCGGCTGTCAGCAGCTCTGCGGGCATCTCCCACACGACAGAATTGGGACACATTGGCCAAATAAAGTGGAAATTCACTGCCTGCCTCTGCCTCCCCGTCTCCCGGCCGGGGGGGGGTGCTCCCGCCGAGACACCTCCTTGGAGAGACACCACCTTGGAGCGCTGAGAAGTGTGACGCTTGCAGGGGCCACCACCACCGTCCCCCATCTGTTGCCAAGTGCCTGGCCCCGGGGGGCACAGGCAGGTCGCCCGCCCCCACCCGTGCCCTGCCCTGGGGCTGGCTCCCTGGTCCGCCTGGGGCAGGCGTGTCCAGCATCTGGTCCTCCCTGGGGGGGGTCCTGCTCCGGACGCTGGGCACGGCCAGCTGTGGGGCAGGCCGGCCAGAGGAGCAGGGGCCCTCCTGCCGCCGCCTGTGACTGCAGAGGGCCCCGCGGGGAGCTGGTCTTCTGGCTCCACAGGTGAACCGTCGCCGGGTTTTTGAAGTGTGCTCTGGCCTGCAGACGCCCGGCCTGCGGTTTGCCGCGGACAGACGGGCACGAGGAGGCCCGGGGGTGCGGCGGGGCACCCGGGGGCCTGCGGGGCTCGGCATCCGGGCTGGCCTGTGTTCCTCCAGGCAGGAGGGTCCCCCGGGCAAAGCCCCATGGAGCCCAAGGGGCCCGTCGAAGCCCGGTCCCCGACTTGCTGCCTGGAGTGGGGCGAGTGCGTGTCCCGGAATCAGGCTCATGTGCTGCTGGGGGATCCCGGGCGCCGGCGTCCCCGTGGACCCCGTGACTGGGGTTCTCTGGCGACCACAGCCCACGGGAGGCGGGGGGTGTCGTCTCCCTCGGGACCATCTCGCTCCCAGCAGGGGGCCCTGGTGCCCGCCTTGCCCTCCCAGTGCCGCCAGCCAACACCCAGGCCCTCAGGACCCAGGGCCGCCCCCTCCCGCGGGGGTCGGGGGGTGTGGCGTGCAGGACGACCAAGTGGGCTCGCTGGGCAGCACCGGCCGGCCCGCCCATCCCTGCGCCTGGCGTCCGGCGCTGCTCCCCATGGCCAGCAGCCATGTGCTCCCCTGGTTGCTGGTTGCGGGGCGGCCCAAGCCAGGGCCTCTCTCCAGCTGGCCTGCCTGGGTTGGTGTGTAGTGCCCCCGTCCTGCCGACCTCGACACGTGTAGGGGTGGGGGTCGCTGAGAAGTCAGCTCTGCCGCCCAAACCTGGGCAGTTTCTCAGCACAGCGGGCTGTCAGGGTCCCAGCCGGCAGGGACAGGTTCTGTCCAACCCTGTGCTCCCTGCCCCGTGACCTCCCCGCCCCGTGACCGCACCGGTGGCCCCGGGAGCTGCCAAGGGAGGCCGGCCCTCCGCACAGGCCACACCTGTCACGTGCCCTGGCAGGGGTGTCACCGATACCCGTCCCTTCTGCAGACTGCTGACGAGGCCGCCACCGAGCCTGTTGGCTGGGAGGTGGCGGGTGGAGTCCGAGACCTGTCAGGGCCGCTCCGCCAGCGGCCTGAGCAGCAGCCCCTCGAGGTGCTCCGGCCACCCAGGCTGTGGGGCAGGAGGCCCTGCAGGGGGCCCAGCCTGCGCCCCTGCCTACGGGGTGGCAGGGGTGGGGAGGAGCGGGGCCTTTGGCCTCTTCAAAGTGAACTTTGCATGTGCTACCCCCCAGGCGGCAGGAACTCACAGTCCCAAAAACCAGCCACTTCGCCAGCCCGGCGGGCCGAGGAGGGTCAGGGCAGAACGGCCCGAACACACGAAGGGTTGGTTCCCACGGGGCTGCGGGAAAGGCAGGCTGTGCCCATGGGGGCAGGTCAGACTGCTGGCGGCCGGCGGTGGAGGAGCGGTCCCCAAGGAGCCGGCTGCGGGGCCCACCCACGGGTCTGCGTCCGTAAATGCCTCCCAGGGGCTCCGCGGTGACCCGGACGCTTGCACAGCAGCCCCTGCCGCAGCCTGCCGCCAGCAGGCAGACCGGGAGAGGGGCCCCCTGGTGTCTCCAGCACTCGCCCCCGCCCCTGCCCCCGCCCCGGGCTCGACCGGCCCGCCTCTGGCCCGGGGCCTGGTGGCTCCTGGGGAGGGCCGTGCCTCTGGGGCAGCGACACCCGTGGCCCTTTCATCCGATCCTCCGAGCGGGGAGGGCGGGCGCACAGAACTTTCCACAGCACCAGGCAAGCTCATCTTCACGTCAAAGGAAAGTTCTGTCTCCTGTCCTCAGGCTAGAACTTTCGGTCTCCGAGCTTCCTGTAAACAAGCCAGAAGAAACCGCACCTGACTCCTGCCCAGCGACCAGGAGTGGGACCACCAGCCCGTCCTCCAAGCCCCCAGGGGCAGGGACGCTGAGCAGCACCCTTCCTTCTCTGGGGCCCCCGCAGGGCCTGGGGTCACGAGGCAGCCAGAGAAAACCCACCAGGGCCGGGGGCCATCCCGGGGGTCCCCTCTCCACAGGGTGCGGCTCGGCAGAAGGCTGTGCACCCAGAGGGTGTAGAGTCCAGGGGTGAGCAAGAGCAGGTGGAATGACCAGCCATCGTGACCTGAAGGACAAATCATAAGTGAGGATACCACATGGTAACAACACTAAGAAGACAAATGATAGCCCTGACTGGTGTGGCTCAGTGGGTTGAGCACGGGCTGCAAACCAAAGTGTCGCAGGTTCGATTCCCAGTCAGGGCACATGCCTGGGTTGCAGGCCACGGCCCCCAGCAACCGCACATTGATTGATGTCTCTCTCTCTCTATCTCCCTCCCTTCCCTCTCTAAAAATAAATAAAATCTTAAAAAAACAAGACAAATGATACAAATAAGTAATACAGCAATGAGTACCGGGCAATGCAAGAATAAACTATTTCACGTATTCACAACTGTAAACCCCGTTTTGCCCACCCTGTCTGTGTGGTGACTTGAGTTTGTTAGGCGGAGACCAGCTTGGTGACACGGGGGAGCTGGTGACCCTGCTGCCTGCCCCTGCCCCGAGAAGCGTGCTGGCCAGCAGGGGCATCTCGCCGCGGTCAGGGGCTGCACTGCGTCACCGCCCCCCCAGGAGCCACACGATGAAACACCAACCCCAGGACATCCGGGTGGGGCCTTATTTGGAAATGGGGTTGGTGCGAATGTAGTACAGAGAGGGCTCCCTGGAAGGGGGGGGGCGCGCCTGCTCTGTCGGCAGGTGTCCTGACAAAGAGGGAATGTTGCACACAGACAGCCCCCAGGGGGGAGCGCCCTGTGGACACGGAGCCGGGGACAGACCCAAGCATCGGCAGGGGAGGGGCACCGCCCACAGAGCCAGGAGGAGCCGGCTTTCCCCAGAAATCCCGGACCCCAGAACCAGGAGAGAATCGAGTCCTGTCATTTAGGGTCCCGCACCCAGCGCCCCGTCGCCGTGGGGAAATGGCCAGCTCAGGTGGGCGGGGCTGCCCTGACCCCAGCTCGGCCCCCACACGCGTCCCGGGCTGCCATCTTTTCCACCGGCTCCTCTCCGGCAGACCCAGGCCAGGCCCACGCCTCACCCCGGGCCTCGGCGGCTGCCGTGACAGCAGGTGGCCCTGGCCCAGCCCGCTGGGCTGTTTTCTGAAAGTTCCACTGGCTGCTCTCCCGCAGGTAAGTGGGCACCGGGCGGCTGCAGAGGACACACCCGTCCCTGGGACATCACGTCCCGTCCCTGGGGCGCAGACTCGGTGGCACCCGCCTTGTGAGCACGTGTCCCATTGCCAGCGGGAGCCTGGAACTGGAACTGGGGGGCAGGGGCGGAGGGCGGGATGCAGAGGAGTGGACCACGTGGGCACGGCCCGCGGAGGGTTCGGATGGGCCGGGCGGCACAGCCCGAGCGGGAGCTGAGGTGTCGGGACTCCAGCCTGGGGGGTTCTCCGGCAGGAGGGCGGCACCACCAAGACCCGGGTTTTGGTAGAAGTGCCGAGACTGGCAGGGCCGTACTGGAAAGGGATGTGCCAGGGAGGGGAGGTGGGTTGGGCCGGGCCGGGCCTTCTCCCCAGCACCGCCCCGATTTTCCTGGGAATCTTCCTGGGGTCGGGCAGCCCTGGCCTTCTGGGAGGTGAAGGAGCCTTCCCCACCGGATGTCATACTCTGGCCCTTCTCCCAGAGTTCCGGGCCCGGCCCGGGGGCCGGCTTGCCGGCCTTCCAGGCCCTGTCCTTCGGGTGCTCTCTGTGAGGCACCTTCTAAGTCCAGCCGCGGGGCTGGTGCGACGGCCGGCCAGGAAGGATCTGACCCCTTTGGCCGGGCACGGCGACAGGTGGGCTGAAAGATGAGCCGGTGAACTTGATCTGAGCGTGAGGCGGAAAGCAGCTCGGTTTCGGCTCTCGTGGTGCGAGGGTGACCGTGCGGCTTTATATAGCCCTCGGGGGCCCATATAAATGGGGGCCGCTCCTGCAGCAGGGGCCCAAGGCAGCAGCTCCGCAGCCGTGCCGGAAGCCGCGGTCCCAGGCTCCAGGACCCTGCCCGCTGGACTAGGTCGGGCTGGGCCCGGTCCCTCCCCGGAGCAGTGAGGCCCTCCCAGGGCGGCCCACACGCAGCCCCCAGGATGCCCAGCAGAACAGTCCGCTACGTCCGCTACAGCCCGCGGCAGCGGCGGCGGCGCATGCTGGCCCAGCGCAGCGTACGCTTCCCCAACGACGTCCTGTTCCTGGACCACATCCGCCAGGGCGACCTGGAGCAGGTGGGGCGCTTCCTCCGGGCTCGCAAGGTGGCCCTGGACACCATCCACCCCTCCGGTGAGTGCCCGCAGGGCCAGCCCAGGTCTGCAGGGGGTGCGGCGGGGGGAGGCCTCTGCCGTGACCCCGCCCGCCCTTCCCTCCCCAGGCCTGGCGGCCCTGCACGAGGCCGTCCTGTCTGGAAACCTGGATTGCGTGAAGCTGCTGGTCAAACACGGGGCGGACATTCACCAGCGCGACGAGACGGGCTGGACGCCCCTGCACATCGCCTGCAGCGACGGGTACCCTGACATTGCCAGGTGAGAGGGTGAGGCCCCACTGCTTCCTCCCAGCCCCTCCTGCCTCAAGTGGCCTCCAGGACGGGGTCTCCAAAGGCTGGTGGCCCTGGGGATGCAGCTGAGAGCCCTCCAGGCTCTTGGGAATCTCCTCTCTGCCGCCTCGCCCTCCCTCAAGAGCACGGAAAAGTCCGCGGTGGTTTCTGAAAGATCAGGTTGCTTACCCCTCACCCCACCTGGAAAAAGGAAAAGCGGGCGGGTCTCAGGGCTCCAGCCGGCTCCCCGGGGCTTTGAGGGGTTCCTCCAGGCCGTGTGCCCACTGCAACCCGGGCGGCCCTTTCACCCCAGGTACCTCATCTCCCTGGGGGCAGACAGAGAGGCAGCCAACGACGACGGGGACCTGCCCTCCGACCTCATTGACCCGGACTTCAAGGACCTGGTGGAGCTCTTCCAGGGGACCAGGATGGACTGAGCCCGGCCCTGCCCTGCCGCGACGCGCACCCCGCGCCGCGCGCCGCCGCGGGGCCGGGGCTGGCCGGGACCCCGTCCGCTGGGCACAGCCCCGCTCCACCCCTCTGGCCTGGCTTTTTGTCCAGGTGAATTTTTTATTGTTGCACTTTTTACTTTTTCAATAAACACGATGCCTCAGCCCGTGCTGGTGCCATGACTGCTGGCGACACCGGCCCGTCCCGGTCTCAGGCTGCAGCCGCTCCCGGGGGCCACCGGCCCTGCCGTCCGCGCCGGCCCGGAGCCCGGGGCAGCCCCCGAGCCCCGCAGGTCCCGAGGCTGCGGCCCCGCCGCCCCGCGGCCCCGAGCGCCGGCCGTCACGTGGCCCGCCGGGTCCTGCGTGCGCGCGTGCGCGGCGCGCGTCACTTCCGGCCGGGCCCCAGCTGGCGGAGGCGGCGGCGGCCGAGCGGCGAGGTGAGGCGGCGGCGGCGGGGGCGGAGCGGGCGCGGCCGGGACCCGCCCTGGCGCGGCGGCCGCTAGGGGAGGGCAGGGGCGGGTCGCGGAGGCCCGCGCGCCCCACCCACCCCGCCCCGCGCCCGGGCCTGCTGGGGGCGCCCCGGCCGCGGCGGCGCGGGAGGCGGGTCGTGCGGAACGTGGCGCCCGGGCCACGGGGCGGGGCTGGGAGGGGCGGCGGGGCCGGGGTGCACCGATGCGCCGCCTCGGGCTTCAGAGGGGCCCCCCCGCCGCGTGCCCCCCCCCCCCCGGGCCCGGCCGCGGCCTCCCGCCCCTCGGCGTCCTGCCTGCCCCACCCCTGCCTTCCGGGGCCGGGGGTGCGGACGGGAAGGGGGCGGCGCGGCCTGCCACGCCCTCGCGGGGCTTGGGGCGGCCGCGGCGAGTGGGGCGCGGGGTGCCCCCGCGGGGCCGGGCTGCCCGGTGGGAGCCGCGGGCACCCACTTCTGCTCACGGGCGCGACCGGGCGGGGGGCGGTGTGAGAACTCCAGGTCCTGGGCAGCTGCGAGCGGAGCGCCCCCCCGTGCGGCCCCGGGGAGCTTCCGAGAGAAGGGGGTCTTTTAGCGGGACCCCAAAGGACGAGGACAGAAGCTGGGGCAGAGGGGACAGCTTGCGCCCGGTCCCGCGGGTGCCAGTGGGCCGCAGAGAGAGACCCTCGGGCGCAGGTGCCGAGAACTTCGAGGAGGGGCTCCGGGGGGGCCCAGGGCGCAGAGCCTGAGTCCTGAAGGCGCCGTGGGGTTTCCGAGGGGCCCACACGCTGGGGCCTGCTGCTGTCACCCAGGGCAGGGGGGCCAGGGCCGGGCGCTGCTTGCAGGCCTTGCCCCGGGTCGTGTGGGGTCCAGTCCGGCAGTCTCCTGCTGGCCCTGCCACGGTGGTGGGTCATTCTCCAGAGGTCTCGTGGGCTGGAGCCGGGCTGGAAGCGCCCTGCACACACACACAGCGACAGGGAAAGCGGAACCTAAGAACGTGTGAGTCTCGGAAATCCCGAAGGAACACAGACGCCCAGCCAGGGAGTCACGGGTTCCCACGGTGCCATACCCGCGGTCACTGCCCTGGACAGCAGTGCCCTCCTCCCCTGCCTGCGGCCCACGGCTGCGTGGGGGGCAAGGGTTTGAGACGGGGGCGTCGGAGGCTAGGCTTCGGCAACCCCCACCCCCATCGCCCCCATCCCCAGGGGGTTTCTGGAACCTTTGGTTCCCGCGGGAGAGCCAGGTGCCGGATGGACCCACCAGGAAGGCTGCCTCCAAGACCGAGCAGGGCCACGTGGGAGTCAAGGGGCCCAGGAGCCCTGGTGGGGGGGGGAGAGGCGGGCTCTGGGGTGCTCCTCTCGGCGGAGCTGTGCAGGCCGGCCCCGGCCCCCGGAGGCCCAGAGGTGGGCGCAGGCCCCGCTCTGCTGGGTGGCTGGCTGCTTCCCGCTGAGCCTCTGCCGTGGGGGCTGCCAGGGCGCTGCCTCGGCCCAGTGCGGGGTCCCAGCTGAGTCTGGAAGCACCCGGCGCGGCAGCACCCTGCTGTCGGCCCCTGGCGAGCGTTGGCTGTGGGCCGGGGAGCTGCTGCTGCTCCACGGGCCCATGCGCCCCCTCTGTGAGGGCTGGTTCCGCCCCGGGGTGCCCGGGACTGGCCTGGTTCACGCCTCGCCGTCGGCAGCGTCCCCCTCGCTCTCAGGAGCGCCTGTCTGGTTAGATGGGACGTCCTTCTGTCACCATCGTCACGTGGGGTCAGGAGACCCAGAGCTCTCCTTCCAGGTGGTGCCCGTGCCCTGCTGGGGGCCCCTCGGGGGCCACTATGGCCCCCAGAGGGAAGGGACCTGCCCGGGGCAGCAGGGGCGGATGGCCCGCAGCCACAGAGCAGCTCAGGACTCTGCCGTGCACCTGGAAGCCCACGGGTGCCCGGGCCTCGGCCACAGCGCGCAGTGGCGGGGGTGGGGGGGGCGGTTCCCGGCACTGACGGCGGCAGGCAGAGGCGGCTCTGTGGCAGAGACCGTGTCTGGGGTGGGCGGGGGGGCCACAGCAGGTGGCACCTGACGAAATAGGCTGGGGCTGCTCGCAGGGCTGGGTGGAGGGCGGGCGGGCGGCACGTGACTTGGGGAGTGGGTGCCGGTGAGGTCGTGCCGGCAGCAGGTGTGCGGGGGTGAGGGAGGGCGGCGCACCCCGGGAAGGGGGAGGTGACCTCAGTGCGCAGCAGCAGCAGCTCTGGGCTGCGGGGAGATGGGACCGCGTCCTCGGCTCTAAGACTCAGGTCGTGGGCGCCTCGGCTCCTGCAGCGCCACCACGGGGAGGCGCCGTGGGGCGGGGTGGGGCGGGCAGCCGTCTCTCAGGGTGACGGCACGGGGTGTGCGACGGTGCCTGTGACGGTGCGGGGGACGGTGCGTGGGCCAGTGTGTGCAGCTCAAGAGCCGAAGTAGTTGTGTCCCGTGACCCTTGTGAGTGAGAGCGAGGAAGACCGGGAGGGAGAGGGCCTAGGAAGGGGACAGCCCCCGCCCGCCCTTGCCCCTGGCGTGGCCGGGAGGGTTCCTGGACACGGGCGGTGCAGCCTGCCCTCCCCCTGTGCCCACCGCCCCCACCACCCCACCGAGCTGCCGAGCGGCTGCTCTCTGTCCGGCCGGACTTCGGTCTCTGGCCTCCCCGGGGCCCTCAGGGGCTTCCAGGGGCTTCCTGGTGCCCCCCCCCCCGGCCTGGTGCTTTTCCAGGCCCGTGTCCTTCCCTCCAGCCCCGTGTCCCCTGGCCCCTCCGCCCCTCGTCGGTGGCCCTGCACACTGCTTCCCTGGTGGGAAACACACTCCCGTGCCCTCGCTCAGCCAGACGCACGCCGCCACAGGCCCTGCCCGGGCTCCGGGCCTCCAGACCGGCCATCGGGGCTGAGCCCCTCGGAGACCTGGCTGCTGAGGGGGGTGGGAGTGGGGTGATGCCAGTCCCGACGGAGGTCAGCTCTTGGTCCGGGTCTTCGCTGCCCCCCGCCCTGGAGTGGCTGTCACAGGGCATGTGCGTGCCGTCAGTTTTTAAGGTTTCATTTATTAACTTTGAGAGGGGGGAAGGGAGGGAGAAAGAGAGGGAGAGAAGCATCAATGTGTGGTTGCCTCTCATGCGCCCCCCACTGGGGACCTGGCCCACAGCCCAGGCACGTGCCCTGACTGGGAATCGAACCAGCGAACCTTTGGTTTGCAGGCCGGTGTTCAATTCATGGAGCCACACCAGCCAGGGATCATTTGATTTTTAATGGGAATTTGGGGGGTCAGAGTCGGGCCCAGCTCCTTGCAGGAAGCCCAGGAGATGAGGAGGGTGTGCGAGCTGCTGCCCCTGCTGCCCCCGGGGCAGCAGGTGCCTCGCCTTAGGGGAGGCTGCCAGCGCGTCCTCGGGTCACCTCGGTGCTCGGAGTCCGGCCGGGGGCAGGGTCTGAGCGAGAGAGACCGGGGACAGAGGCCGGGCTGTGGGGGGCGGATTTGGAGACCACTCCCATCTGTGCTGGTGGGTCGGTGAGACACAGGCCGGGGGAGTCAGGCCCGGCAGGGAGTGATCCCCCCCACACACACATACACTGTGAGAGGAGGCAGGCAGTGGCCCCCCGGTCTCAGGGTGTGAGGGCCTGCTGTGTGTGTGGCCCTGGCCCCTCCGGGACCTCTGCCAGGGCCTTGGGACAGTGCTCAGCCCTGCGTCCGCGCCCCGGGGCCGGCTGCCTCCACAGGCTCCCAGGCCGGCCAGGAGGCCCAGCCAGCCGAGTGCTGTGAGGTGGTCCCCAGCACAGAGACCAAGGGCTCTGGAGGTCTGGGGCTCATCCCTTGGGCTGGGTCCCCTGCAGGCCAGCTGCTCTGGGCCCAGGGCGACAAGGCCGGGGACGGCAGAGGCGAAGGGGGCGGGCGAGGCTGTGGGAGGCCAAGGAGGTGGTTGGCCAGGGGGAGGAGGGCCGGCTGGCACCTCCATCCCGGACGTAATTGGAGCTTCCGCCCTCTGGTGAGGGCCAGACAGCCCCTTGGGAAGTGTCCCAGGGCGCCCTCCCGTGGGGTGACCCCGGGCGTGAGCACAGGGCTGGAGGCCGTTTGATGCCTTTTTGCTGTTTCTGCCTTGGCCTGTGGGCTTCCACTCACCTGGGCAGGAGTTTCAACACGGCTGTTTGCCGGGCAGGACGCCCACGCTGCCCTCCCCTGGCCTTCTGGGAGGGAGGGTTGCTGCCCGGGCTCAGGGTGGGTGGGGGAGGCCCTTGCCCTCAAAGCCCCCCCCCAGGGCTCCCCCACCCCCGGCAGCTGGGGTGCCCAGCTGTGAGGCACGGCCAGGGCTGGGGCCGGTCCTGTGCAGCCAGAGAGGGGACACTGTCCAGCTGGCGAGTCCGAGGGCGAACCTAAAAACAGGCTCACACCCCGAGCTGCAAGTCCCCGGGGCAGAGTGTCTGGGCCTCGGTCACTGGGTCAGGCCCCAGGCCCGGCCGCTTCCGCCCTGCTCACACCCCTCCCCCGCCCTCCCGCCCAGCTGCCCTCCGGGACCCGGAGGCCGCAGGGGCAGAGCTAGGGTTTGCGGGGGGGGGGCACTTTGTGGTTGTGGGGTCGGTCAGGGGCTCCCCGACTCTGGGGAAGGGGCTCCCGGGGCAGTGGAGGTCCAGGTCGCGCACGTCACTGCCCCTCCCCCGCTCCTACCTCCCTAGTCCGCAGCCGGCTCCACCCTCGGGTCCCCTGGTGACAGTGAGGTCACAGCAGTGGGCCAGCAGCTTCGGGGCAGGAGGCTGACAGGCCCCCCGCCCCCGCCCCTCCGGGAGGCCCCGCCCCCTGGAAGCCGCTCCGGGGAGGGTGACCTGCCCCGTGGCCCCGGCCCCCCTTTCAGAGGCTGAGGGGATCCCGCAGCAGAGTGAGCGGACCGGACGCCCCAGCGATGACCAGGTGGGTCTTGGGCAGCGGAGTGGCCTCCGCCCGGGGGTGAGGGGGGTGGGGCCCCCGCCCTGCCCCCGCCGCTCCTCACCGGCCCGGCGCCCCAGCTCCCCCGTCTCCAGGGTCGTCTACAACGGCAAGAGGAACAGCAGCCCCCGCTCGCCCCCCAGCGGCGGCGAGATCTTCACCCCGGCCCACGAGGAGAACGTGCGCTTCATCTACGAAGGTAGACGAAGGGGCCGGCGCTGTGCAGGGGGCGCTGGGGGTGGGGGCGGGCCTGCGGGGACCCTCTGAAGGGGGCGGGCACTCCTGGCGGCGCACCCGGCCCTGGGCGGGGCCCTGAGCCGGCCCCTCCTCCCCGCAGCCTGGCAGGGCGTGGAGCGGGACCTCCGGAGCCAGGTCTCGGGCAGCGAGCGGGGCCTGGTGGAGGAGTACGTGGAGAAGGTGCCGAACCCCAGCCTGAAGAGTGAGTGGGCCGGCGGGCCAGGGCGGAGGGCTCCCCGAGGGGGCGGGGCGGGGCGGGGCGGGGCCGCCTGCGGTGCCCTCCGCTGACCGGCCGGCCCGTGTCCGCGCAGCCTTCAAGCCCATCGACCTGAGCGACCTGAAGCGCCGCAGCACGCAGGATGCCAAGAAGTCCTAGAGCCCCCGCGGGCGCCGCCGCGGCCTCCGGGAGATCCCGGCGCGGCCTGACGCCGGTCCGCCCCCCTGCGGGCCGAGTTCCTGGCAGGGGGGGCGGGGCCGTGCGCCCAGGGGGCCACGGGCCCCAGGACCAGGACAGCGAGATGGCGGCGGGTGGCCGTGGCCTGGCTCTCCTCCCCCAGCCCCCTCCTCCCCTCTTGGCGGGCTCCGCTGCCAGACACCGGGAGGGTCTGGGCCCTGCCGGCCCCTGAGCCCTCCTGGGCCCAGCTGCCTGGGTGTCTCTGCGGCCCCTGGCCCTGCCTGCCCCCAAGGACTCGACCCTGATCCCTCTGCCCTTTCCTCTTCCCTACCGCCCCCCTGACCCCTGGCCACCTCCAGGGTCAGGACAGCGATGAGGGGCCGCTGTGGCCTGTGGGCCCGTGGGGCTGTGGCCCGAGTGCCACGCTTGTCCCCGAGGAGGCAGGAAGGCAGGGCGGGGCAGCCCCGCCCACTGTTGGCGGGGGCCTGTCACCTCGCTGCTGCTCTGGCCTGGACACGGGGAAGCGTGTGGGCCTCCCCACCCCCCGGTTCGGCCTGGCCCCTTCCTTCCTGCATTAGCTCCCGGGCGGCACCGGCTACCAGCCTGGGACACCTCGGGCACCACCACGGGGTCCTGGGCACCCAGGCTGGGCCCTTGGTGTCCGCAGCCCCCTGGGGCAAGACTGTGCAGGGGCCTGGCGGGGTCACCGGGGCCCTATCCCCGTGGCTGGAGCCTGGGACTGGAGAATAAAGGCGGGCAGCCCTGGTCGGCCTCCTGGCGTTCTGTCCCTGCAGCCCTCGCAGTGCCGGACACCCGAGTGCACGGTCACGGCCCCTGAGCCCGGGAACTTTGGTCCCTGGGCTCCCTCTGGGGGCGGCTGCCAGGGGTGGGGGCCTCCCGGAGGGCAGGGATGGGGGTTCCTGCAGGCTGCAAGGGGCCTGCCCCTGCACGCCCGGAGAGCGGGGGCGGCTGCACCAGACACAGCACACCAGGCCAGAGCTCCCCGTGGAGCATCACTCCCCGGAGGGGCACTCTGGGGCGAGATTGGCCCCACGGGTGGCCGTGGGAGGCCTCTCTCTCCGGGGGTGGTTCCCCGGGGCTGGAGCGCAGGAAGGACAGCTCTTGTGTGTGTTCTGATGGGTCTTACCGAGAGAGGAAGGGGCAGAGAATCTCTGATCTGTTCCATCTGCTGAAGCCATCCTTGATCACTGAGCGTGCCCTGCCCGGGGCGCAAGCCTGCAACCTGGGAGGGCGGGACGGTGCCCCAGCCAGGGTGCGCGGGCCCATGTAAGGAGTGTCCACCGAGAGTGCTGGCCAGTGCCAGGCCCTGAGCTGAGTCCACGTAACCCTGTGACCACCTCTGCACCCCGGGGACCTGTGAGGGTTTTAACGCCTGCTGGGCTGGGTTGCCTGAGCTGCCCCCCCACTGTCTGGGGCCGGGAAGGGGTGTGGGTGCCCTCCAGCTGGGGTACACATCACACCCCCACCCCAACCCCACCTACACCGCAGAGGATGGGGTGGAGCAAGGCTGGGCAGAGGGCCGGCCCCCTGTGCTGCCCTGGGTGGCCAGCACGGGTCCTGCTGGGGCGTCGAGCGGTGGCCTGGACCCCAGCCGGCCTGGCTGCGCGTGTGGTCTGAGCAGCGTCTCAGCCCGAGTTTCCTCTCGGGGAGACGGGTTCCTGCCCCTGAGGGCGCTGCCCGGGGCTTGTGCCTGCTGCCACGGTGGGTCACCTTGTGGGTGCGCCTGACCGCACCCTGGGCCTTGGCACAGTGAGCACAGCCCACGGGACTTCAGGGGCCCGGACCACTGCTGCTGGCGGCCGGGTCTGCCCACCTGCGGGCCAGGGGGGTCACACTGCCATCCAGCTGGAGTGTCCGTTCGGGAAAACGCAGCTGTGGGCCGTGGTGGTCAGCCCCCGGCCTGAGCTCCCTTCAGCCCCACGGCCCTGGAATCAGCCTGCCCTGCCCCCCTCACTAGTGGTGGTCCTGCTGGGCCTGTACCCCCTCCCCACGCGGGTGGGCCCCTGGGGCACCCTCAGGCTGTTACACACACTCCTGCCAGTCCAGCTTTCCTGGGGGATGGGGGGCCTGGGCAGGGACAGGGGTGGCGGGGAGAGTAAGCACAGAGAGGGCGCGTGGTGGGGGAGACAGGTCCCAGCCCATGGGGGCCCAGGTCTGGGCCTGGAGCCCTGGTTCAGCGGGCCTGCGGTCCAGGGCCCCTTCCTCAGGCGTCCCCGTGGGCGGGCACCTGGTGCGGTCACCAGTGGGAGTGCACCCCTGCAGGGAGCCCTGGGCGGGGGCGTGGCCGTCCCCTCCCACTGTCCCCGCACTGCCCCTCTTGCGGTGAGGGCCGCGGGGCCGCGGGCGTGTCCCGGTGGCCCTGGGGCATGTGCTCCCGTCTGCTACACCCCCCTGGCCAGCGGGAGCCCCAGCCGGACAGCTCCGGGGGCAGGTCTGCTGCCCAGTCCTCCTGCTGCTGGCGTGGCCTCGCGCTGGGCCGCTCGCCGGCACGCCCCTCACGTGTGCGCTCCGCAAGTGCCGGTCCCGCCGTGTGTGTGTGTGTGCGCAGAGGGCACGCCGCCGGCCCCTGGGCCGCATCTTCAGGCCTCCTCTCCCCTCCGTGTGGGTCGGAGCCCACCCCACCCCCGCACGGGGGCGGGGGTTCCCACGCGGTGGGTTTGGCGGGCTGCGCCCTGTGGCGGTGACAGGCCTTCTGCCCCCTGGACCTGTGGCCTGGGCCGGGACGCGAGGGCTTGGCTCCATGGGCTTTGCAGAGGCCCTGGGCGTCAGAGGACTCCTCCGCCCCCGTGCCCAGCGCAGGCTGGGGGGCTCCGGAGGAGCGGGGGGACCTGCCAGGAGGGCTCCCCGAGCAGACGGGGGTGGGGTGCCCCGTGTGAGCGGGGTCCGCGGTGCAGAGTCAGGGGGCCCCCCCCGGGGCTGCAGGCGCAGACGGGGCATCTCCGAACATTGAGTGCTAGAGCTCCGTGACGGAGGGAGCAGGCCGGGCCTGACCCCTGGGCCCCTCGGCCGGGGGCGGGAGGTGGAAGGACTGAGGGGGGGGTCGCCGGCCGAGCATCTCCCCCCGCCCCCGGAGGCAGCCCCGCGGATGGCCCTCCGCCCTGTGTCCCCACCTCCAAAGTGCAGGCTCTCCCGCTGGGCTCCCCCCCTCCGTGGGGCACCCTCCCCGCCCCCCCCCACGACTTCCGCGTCTCGGCTGAGTTTACGTCTCGTGACGCCTGTGTTTGTGCTCGGGGCCCAGCCGTGCCGTAAACGGTGATCTCTCTCCCGCCCAGCTCGCTGCTTTCCTCGTCCTCACTGCCTGCCTTCTCCTCCCTCCGCGCCCTCTCCCGGGCACCCGCCCCACTAGGGTTCTGACTCCCGCAGGGCCCTCGGTCCCCTCTCGCTGGGCTCGGTCACTCTGGCCCTGCCCGGGGCCCCAGTGACCCGCTGGGCCCGGCCCCCACCGCGGGCACCCGCCCTGGTGCTCCCGGGTCTGACGCCCCCCCTCGGTGTCCACCCTCAGCCCAGCAGCACGCGGGCGGGCAGCTCCATCATTGCGGGAAGGGGGGGGCTGAGTGAGGGAAAGGACCGGGGTGGGGGGGCAGCAGAGATAGGGACGGGGCAGAGGAACTGGGGTGTCCATCTCTCGGGCGGAGTGACGAGAGCGGGTCCCCCCACCCCCTCACCCACCTGCAGAGCCGCCCGGTCAGAACCGGGGTGCGCCTGCTGGGCCTGCGCCTCTGAGCCCGCGCCCACTGGCCTGCTCTAGTTCCTCTGGGGACGGACGGGGCAGCGGAGGACAAGGGCAGGGGGAGCCATGTGGGGGGCCGTCGGGAGGCCCCCGCGTGAGCACGCGGCCCCAGGCGGGCGCCGGCCCGAGCTCAGCTGGCGTGAAGGACAGCCGGAGCCGTCCCTGTGCCGGCGGCAGGCGCCGGCTCCCCAGCGCTGAGGGCTGGGGGGGCCTGGGCGGCTGGGGGTGCAGACCCCCCCAGGAGGGCCCCAGTGCCTGTGGGTTAGTAATTCTATTTACCTTTCCCGAGAGGCCTCCTGTCCTCTCATCTGCTCCAATTAGCCGCAGCAGGCCCGGCCCACGTGGCTGCAGGGGCCGTGGGCACCCCTCCCCCCGGGCCCAGCGCGGCCTCCGGGCAGCTCCAGGAGCAGGGACACCTGGCCGGCCGGCCTGGCTGCTGCTTTCGGCTCCTGTCCCCCCTCCGCGCCACGCACACACACCCCGGCAGGCACCCGGCCCTGCTCAGGGGGCGCTCTGGAGGGGCGACCGCCTGCAGCCCCAGGCGGCCCCCGGCCCTGCCCTGGCCTCCTCCGGCCCCTCTGTCAGGCCCGCTGCGCTCCCTGGCCGCCGGACCTCGAGGTGCCTCCTGGACCGCTGCCCACCCCCCCCCACCCCCCCGGTGCAGCCCCAGCTCTCTCTCCAGCTGACACTCAGCCCCCGCCCCCCGCAGCGTCAGCCCCGCCCCACCCCCACCCCGGCCAAGCAGGGGGCCCAGCACCCCGCAATGGCGGTGTCCTCGCTGCGCACAGCTGCCCTCGTGGGCGAGGACGGGGCGCAGCCACACCTCGGCCAGTGAGCCCGCCGGGCCGTGCAGAGACCCGTCTCTCTGCCTCACCCGCTGGGCCGCCTGGGACCTGCCGGGTCACCCGCCGCAGCCAGGACAGGGCTGAGGCCGAGAGGACGCCAGGCCTGGACGGGGACCGTGTGACCATGCCCCCCCCACACACACCGAGCCCGAGCCCGAGCCCGGCCCTGGTGGGTGTCCACAGCCGCGGGGGCAAGTGGGACGCGGGTTCCTCCCTCGGCCGTCACCCCGTGAGGTCCTCTCGCTGGCAGACGGTGACCTTGTGGGGGCTGGGGGCAACAGCTAATGGGGGGCTTCCAGTCTGGCCTGGGGTGGGGGTCCGGCCCCCTGAACCGGAGGGGAGGGGCACTGCCAGCCACCACTCACACTTTGGGTCCCCTCAGGTGCTCTAGCCCCCGTTCATCTGCGAAAGCGGGGGCACCAGCTCAAGGGGTGGGCAGGCCCCCACCTGCGGCTGCTCCGCCTCCACTCCCTGGGTGGCCCTGGGCCCGGCCCGCCCCGCCCCCAGGCCCGGGGCAGGCACAGCAGCCCTGTGAGCTCCAGCTCTTTATTGTCGGGACCCGCCTCCCCCCCCCCCGCCCCCCCGCCGCCGTAGGCCCACCACACCTGCCCCCACCCGGCCGGCAGGTGCTGGGAGGCCCCGCCCCCCAGACCGCCGCCCAGGACCCCCCCAGCTCCCCCAGCCTCTCCGGGAGAGCGGGCTGAGGCCTGAACTGTTCGTTGCTGCCCTTCCGGCTCCTGAGTCCAGCCCCAGCTGGGGCTCCGAGGGCCTCAGAAGGGGCTGTCGGCCAGCCCGGGGGGGCTGCCGGCTGCGAGGGGCCCCGCAGAGGGGCCCTGGCTGGTCCCGCTGCCGGCCCGGCCCCGGGAGAGCAGCAGCTTCTCGGTGGCGGCTCCGCTGGTGGGCCGGGCCGAGGCCGGGTGGCTACCGCCCTGGGTCTCCCCTCGAAGAGCCTTGCCCACGCGCCAGCGGCGCCAGCTCCGCAGCAGCTCCGCCTGCACCTGCGGGTGGCCAGCAGGTGGGGTCGGGCCCAGGACCTGCCCCTGCCCCCCAGAACCCCCAACTCTGGCCTCGAAGGGCATGGGGTGCCGGGGTCGGTGGGCGTGGCTGTCTGGCACCCTCCCTGCACAGTCCCCGAGGACCAGGCTGAGGGGGGCACGAGGGCCAGCTGCCCAAGCTGCACCCCCTGCCTGACCCCGGGCCAGCCCCCGACCCCGGCACACCCACCTCCTTGTTGAGGAAGCAGTAGAGGACCGCCACCAGCAGGCCCTGCGGAGAGGGGGGGGTCAGAGCAGCCGCGGGGAGCGGGGCAGCCCCCCAGGGTGGGGGGGTGGGGGGCGGGTACCTGGAAGGAGCTGAGGAAGAGGTCGAAGAAGAGTTTGGCGAAGCGCAGGGCGCCCTGGGCCTGCTCGTCCGTCACGAAGGCGAACACCACCTCGTGGACGCCCAGCAGGGGGATGAGGGTCAGCGTGGACTTGGCCAGCCTGTGGGGTCCGAGCCTGAGCGCCGGCCCGCGCCCCGCCCCGCCCCCCCCCGGGCCCCCGCCCCGCCGCCTCGCACACCCACCGGAACTTGCAGTCCGTGTGGCGCATCTGGCGGGCGCGCAGCTTGGCCACGAGGATGTGCAGGATGCGGATGAAGATGAAGAAGTTGATCTGCGCACGGAGGGCGGGGCTCAGGGCGGCCCCGGGGGCCCTCCCCCGCCCCCCCGCCTGCGCCTCCTGGCTCCGCAGACCCAGGGCTGGCAGGCGCCGAGCCAAGGACGGGCAGCCGGCTCCGGCCAGGGCGCCGGCCAGTGCCCCGGCTGAGTGCCGGGGCCTCCCTCCCCGTCCACCCAGGCAGGATGCTGTCTGTCTCCTTGGCCGCCACAGGCCCACAAGAAAGGGGGGCCGCAGGCCGACCCCGTGGCCCCCCCGCGCCTCCCTGCGGGGCGGCCTGTCCTGTCCTCACCAAAATGGCCAGGAAGACGGGGAGGCGCAGGATCCACCAGAAGGCCATGTTGTCGTTGCTGGTCCAGCACCTGGGCGGGGGCGGGGGGGGCCACTCACGTCCAGTTGCCACCCCCCCCCCCCGCCCCCCCCCCCCGAGCCCCAGGGAGCTAGTGAGGGCCCCGGCAGAGAGAGGGAGACAGTCACCGAGGACCCGCACCCTGGGCACCCGGTTTGCTCGCCCCCCACTGCCCAGGGGCCAGACTGCACGGCCGCCGCCCACAGGCCCTGCCCGGCGCCCGGAGGGGGCGGCCCGGGCCCCGGCCCAGCCCCTACTCACTGGACGTTCTCGAACACGGACTTGATCACGGCCCAGGGCACCACGAACAGCATGGGGGCGCCTGCGGGGGGCGGCAGCTGTGGCTCCGGGGCTGTGACCGGCCGGCCCCCCGCGGCGGCGGCCCACTCACCCCAGCCGACGCCCAGGTAGAGGGCGAAGAAGTTCCTCTCGGGGCCGGCAGCCAGGCCCAGCAGGCCGTGCAGGTACACGCCCTCCACCAGCAGCCAGCAGTAGTTGGCGACCACTCCGTACTGCATGAACACCGCGGCCACCCGGCAGCCGGCCAGCGCCTGGCCGCGGGGCGGCGGGCGTCAGTGAGCCGGGTCTCTCCTCGCCGCCCGTGCCGCCGCCCGCCTCCGGGCCCCGTTGGGTGGGGAGCGGGGGGCTCTGGACGCTCACCCCGCCGCTCAGCCAGCTGCTCACGCTGAGGTCGTCGCCGATGTTCTGGCTGTAGCGGGTCCTGAGCAGCGCGTCCACGGCCAGCACGGAGCTGGCCCTGAGCACGAAGGACAGGAACAGGTTCGCGTGGATGTAGTTGCGAGTGCAGTGCAGCCTCCTGCGGGATGGGGGGGTCAGCGCCCGCCTGCGCCCCGCCCGTGCCCCAGCCTGCTGCGGCTCCCCCCACCCCTGCGCAGGGCCGGTGGGCGTACCTGAGGCCCAGCAGGATGGCCAGGGCCAGCAGCAGCGCGCCCAGCGAGAGGCAGTAGCCCACGGTGTACATCGCCTGGAAGGCTCCGTACAGCTTGGCCTCCTCCCTCTGCAAATCACAGGGCTGGTCAGGCCGGGCTGCGTGGAGGCCCCCCGCCCCCCGGCCTCTGCCCCGCCGGCCGCAGGCTGACCTGGACCTTAACCTCTTCCTCGTCCATCTGGCACTGGGAGGCGTTCCTCCATGGCTGCCCCCGGGGCCCGCGCACCCACTGCCCGTCGGGCCCGCAGGTCTTGTAGACGAAGCCGTGCTGGACTGGGGGGAGGCTCCGGTGAGCGCCCCGCCCGCAGGCCGGACCCCGGGCCACCCCCACCACAGGCCCCTGCCGTTACCTTTGTGGTGCCAGGGCAGGTACCAGGGGCAGGGGATGCTGGCCGTGGTGTTGGGGGGCGTGTCGGGCCAGCAGGAGTACTTGTCGAAGGTTCGGTTACAGACCAGCTCTGCGGAGGCAGGGCCAAGGGCCCCTCAGCCAGGCCCTCTCAGGACCCCTGCGCATCGCCCGCTGCTCCCCAGCACCAGCTGTCCCCCAGGTCTCTCTGCCTGCCCCCCCCACCCCCCAGACCTCCAGCCGGGCCTGGTCCCGAGCTGCAGCCCCCACAGCCTCTCCGGCCGTACTTTGTATCTCCAACTTGCCCCCAGCCCACCGGGGGGGCCCCCCTTCCCAGTTCCCTTCCTGAAGTGCCTCCCTCTCTGGGGGCTGAACCCCGATTCTGTGGACGCCTGCCCTTCCAGAGCCCGGCACCGACTCTGAGGTCACCTCCGGTCCCTCTGCCCTCAGGGACCTTCAGAGCCGGTCCCTGTGCTCCACCCCCTCCCTGCCCTCCCCCGCCCCTCCCAGCCCCCCGAAGCACCACCCCCCCGACACGCGGCCTGCCCAGCGGGCCGGGGAGGGCATGAGGCGCCCAGCCCTGGGCCTAGTCTTTCCTCTGTCCCCTGTTGGGTGGCCGTGGGCAAGTCCCGGCCTCTCCGGGACCCCGTCCCCTCCCCTCACCAGGGCCACCCCCACAGCAAGAGCGCAGGGAGGGATGCCCCCGGGCCCGGCGCGGGCCAGGGGGAGTGGGGGGCGGGGGCTCACCCGTGGGGGGCGGCAGCAGGCTCAGGTTGTGGAGACACTGGTCCCCATACAGCTTCCACTTCTCCAGCAGGAAGTCCATCACCTGTGCGGACGGGGCCTGCGGCTGGGACAGCGAGGGGTGGGCGGAGCGTCCGTGGTCAGCCCTGGCAGGCCGGTGGGTGGGCGCCGGGGGGGAGGGGGGCGGGGGCGGGCGGGCGCGGGCTCACCTGGCAGGCCAGCAGCAGCAGCAGCAGCAGCAGCAGGAGGGGGGGGCCTCGGCGAGGCCGGGTGGGGGTCATGCCTCTGGGCGGCTGCCCCCCACATCTGGCTGGGGCTGCGCAGATGGAACACAGGGTCCTCGTGGGCTCGCGGGCGCCTGGGCCTGGGGGGCGTCGGGGCAGCAGGGGCTGGGGAGAGGCGCCGGAGTCAGGAGACTCAGCTGGGCTCTGCCGTGGCCACCGGGGTGTCCTGCCCCCCTAAAGCCACCCATGCGAGCCGCCGGGTCCCATCGACGAGGTCGGGTGTGGGGAGCGGCCACCCTTTCCCAGTAGGCCCTGCCCGTGTCCTGGGGCTGTGCCGCCCCCCAGGGGCTGCTGCTCCAGGCTCTGAGCACACGGGGCCCCGCCCCTCTGGGCTGGTGGCGGGTCCCAACGCTGGGGCGGGGGTCGGGCAGTGTCCCCAGGAGCCCGCTGCCCCCCTCAGCCCGCACCGGCCTCCCCACCTATTCTTAGTCCCTGGGAAAGTCATCTTGCTGGGCCGGGGCAGGGTGCCGGGCCATCCATCACTGAGCCCCCGGTGCCAACACTACCGGGGCGGCGCCCGGCCAGCTCCCAGCCTGGCCAGCGGCCAGGAGCACCAGGGCCCCTTCCCCGGGGCCAGAGTGTCTAGGGGGCCCCCTGGGCTCCACCCCCAGGCCCAGGCCGGGTTCTGGGTCCCGGGGGCCCAGTGTGCAGGCAGCTGGCAGCACATTCTTTCGAGATTAGAGCTGCTGGGTCCAGACACGGGCCCTGCCCTCGGGGGGCCTGTGGGGGGGCGGCCAGGGGGGCCAAGTCTTGGGCTGAGCCCGTCTGAGCCGGGGTTCTGGGGCAGCGGCAGCCCCATAAATCCTCCTTCCAGGCCTCCAGAGCCCTCTTTTGCTCAGACTGAGTCCCCTGGGGGCTGAGGGAGGGGCCTCCCTCGGGGCCCGGGTGCAGGACCCTGGGGCTCTGGATATGCCCTTCTCTGTGGGCACACTGGCTTGGGGGGGCAAGTGACGGATGGACAGATGGACAGATGGGACAGCTGCCTGGCTGGGCCCTGCTGGGGGGGGGCAGGGAGTGCAGGCTGTGGCCTGAAGGTGGAGTGTCTCGGGACACCCCCGGTTTCAGCCTCCTCCCGTCAGTCCCACTAGGCCCCTGTGAGTCCGTCTGCACCCAGGGGTCACCCCAGTGGGACCCTGAGTTGCCACCGTGCAGGGTGAGAGCTGAGTGGCCTGGGCAGACACGTGAGTCACAGCCTGCTCTGGCGCGCCTGACCCCAGCCCCAGGCCACGGACGGCGGCCAGGCCAGGCCAGGCGAGGGGAGCCGCAGCGCAGTGGGTGCTCCTGGCGGAGGAGGTGGCAGGCAGAAGGGCGAGGGGCCGGGCAGTGGGAAAGGGTCCGAGGTGGAGACGAGGACCAGACGGCCCATCTGTGTCTCCGCCCCACCGGGCTCGACGGGGAGCGGCAGCGGGGGCAGGCCCGCCCGCCCGCCCGGCTGCTGGTGTGGTGGGTGTGCGGGCTCCGGGCTCCGGGGCGGCCTGAGCAGCGAGGGGCTCTGGGGTCGAGGGAGGGGCTGGCCGGGGCCGAAGGGACAGAGGAGACGCAGCAGGGGACGCGGGAGGAAGGACACTGCCCGATAAGCTGTGCCCCGCTCAGGGGCCCCACGGCGAGGGGGCGGGGGAGCGGGGGTGAAGCTGCGGACCGCCCAGCCCGAGGAGAGCTCCGCCAGACCCGGACGGCCGGGCCTGGGGGCCGGCCCTGCGGCCTGTCAGGGCTCCGCAGCCAGGTGCCCCGGTGGCCAGTCATTCTGGGGACCCAGGGAGATGCAGGACCCAGGGGAGAGGGGAGGGCCGGGTGGGCTGCCCTGGGGCTCCTCCTGCTGCCCCTCCCGGACTATTCTCGGCAGCCACGGCCAAGCAAGGGGAGCTCTCTGTGTCCCCCATGCCCAGCCCCCTCTGGTCTGGCGGTGGGGTTAGGCAGGCAACCCCCACAAGGAGATTCCAGACACTGTGTGAACAGGGGTGCAGAGCCGAGGTCTGGGGGTCCCTGCCCTGGGCACCCGGGGGGGGAGGCCGGCTCCATGGGGTGGCACTGTCGCAGCGCTCAGTCCCGGGGCCAGGGCAAACCGACCAACTCCCCGGGGCCTCAGTTCGCCCACTGGTGACGTGGGTGGGGAGGGGGCTTCCTCGGCCGTGGTGAGCCCTGCCACCTGACGGGCAGGCCCCTCGCTGCCGTGGGGGCCGGGGCCACGGGCAGCCCCCGTCCCCCGTCAGCAGCCGGGAGGACGATCTGTCGGAGGGACCGGGGGACGGAGCCCCGGTCGGCGAGGAGCCGTCCACAGAGGCTCGCTCTGGGGCTCCCCTCGTCCCCTCAGTGTCCTCCGGGCACGGGCCGCCAGGCGGCCGGGGGATGCTGGCCGGGGGACCACCCCGGTCCCTTCAGGGACCAGGACTGAACCCACACAGATGTCAGCCCAGGACTGGAGACGCAGGGCGGGGGGAGTTGGGGGCACAGGCCCCCAACGTGGACACAGGCAGTGGGGGGGCTCTCAGAGGGCCCCCAGCCACCGCCCCTGGCCCCTGGATTCACCCCAGCTGCCCCCCATCTGCCGGGCTGGCCCGCGCCTGGCAGAACCCACCACTCCTGAGGGGTCGCGGCTGGGCCAGTGTCCACCAGCTTCCACTGGGGATGGCGGAGGGACTCGGGGACCGGGGCTGGGGGAGGGCGGGAGAGTCCGAGGGGGCAGGGCCGAGGCCTCCCAGGCTCTGAGGTGTGTGACATGGGGGGGGGCTGTTTTGGTGAAAACAGAGCAAATGCTGGAACGCGGTGGCCGCGGCGGACCAGGGGCCGGGCTGTTGCCGCGCGGGAGCCCTGCGCCCGTGCCCCCAGCGCGTGGGGGCGGGGCGGGCCCGGGTGCAGCCCCCCAGCACCGCGGACTGAAAAGCAGCCCGGCCGGTGCTAGTCCTCGGCGGACGTGAGCGCCCAGACGCCAGGGGTCAGCGGGGTCGGGTCGGAGGAAGGAGAAACCCCGCGGCCGCGAGGCGGGAGTGGGGACGGCTGGGGCGGCGGGGCAGGGCGTCACCGGCCCTCGCAGCGGGTCAAAGGGACAGACGTGGGCTTCGCGGCAGAGCGGACCCGCGGGGCGCTGAGCCCCTCGCCCCCTCCCGGGACTGGGACACTGCTGGGGGCGCTCGGGGTGCAGGGCCCGCAGAAGGGGCGGCCGGGCTGCGCAGGACCCGCGCCCGGGGGTGTCTCCGCGGGGCTGCCCGTGGGGGGGGGGTGCCCGAGGCGGGAGCCGCAGTCCAGGTGGGCAGACGGACACCCCCACCCTGGCCGCGCTCCCCGGGGAGGAAGCAGGTAGGTCTGAGCGCAGAGACCCCCAGCCCGCCAGCCGCGTCCGCGCCGGAACGGCGAGCCCCGGGGGCTGGGGACGGCGGGGTCCAACGGGGATGAGGCCGCTCGGCCCACGACAGGGGTCCCCGTCTGCCCGGCGCCCCGCACTCCGCCCGTCCCGCGCCGGGCCGGGCGGGCTCCCCGAGCGTCCCCTCCGTCCGGGCCCCAGTGCTCACCGCGCCGCTCCGGTCCGGCTCCGCGCTCCCCGCCGGCTCCGCGCCCGCGCCCCGCGCCAGCCGCGCGCAAACTTTCAGGCCGCGACGCTGGGCGGCGGGGCGGGGGCGCGGGCGGGGCGGAGCGGCGGCCGAGGGTCCGCGCTCGCGCCCCGGTCCTCCCGGCGGCGCCCCGGCTCCCGCCTCGCGGTCTCACCCCCTCGGTCCCGGCGGACGTGGCGCCCAGACGCCGGACCAGGAGCCGGAGGACGCACAGGTTGGGGGGGTGCGCGGCCGCGGTGGGGCTGGGACGCGGCGCCCCCTCCTCGCGCTCCCCCTCCTTCCCGGTGCTCGCGGCTGGGCCCCGGGCGTGGCGCTGATTTGCTGAGAGGACTGACCCCCCGGCACCCCCACGGCGGCTCTTGGTGACGCCTCCACCCAGCGCGCCGCGGAGCAGGCCCGACCGCGGGGCAGGGGCGGACCCGGCGGGGAAGGCCCCGCGCGGGCTGAGCCCAGGCCGGCGGGAAGGGCGCGCGGTTGACCCGGGTCTCAGGGTCCCGGCCTCTCCGTCCAGCCCCGCCCACGCAGCAGCCCCGCCGACCCCGACTCCCACACTCGTCTCCCCAGACCCCTCGTGAGTGAGCGCGTTCTCTCCTCGCCTCTCCCCGCCCCCCCACGGTCCCCTGCTCTGCACCCCAGCCCCTGCTCTGGGACCTTTCCCCTCCCTCCCCTGCCAACCGCTCCCCCCACGTCCCACCCAGGGCCGGTGACCTCGGGGCCCCGGAACCCGCGGGTACTTTAGGGCCCCGCCAAGCTGATGCCCTCCTTCTAGAAAGTTCTCCCGGGGCCATGGCTTCCAGGGCGACACTCCCCTCCACTGTCCCTCGCGTGGCACCCACCCTGGCCTCCAGATGCCTCCAGGGCCGCAGGGCCGCTGCTCCCACTTCCGGGGTGCGCCTCGCCCCCCGGGGCCGCCTGGCAGTGGCCTGGAAGCCCCCACATCCCGATCCGATCCCCCCCCCCAGTCTCCCCGGTGGGGCCGGGGCCTCTCCTGCTCCGCCAGCCACCCTCTGGCCGCCGCCACCCGGGACTCCCTGCTGGCCGCCCTTCGTCCCTGGGGCCCCCTCCCTACCCCCCTCTGTCTTGGGGGCGTCAGAGCCCGCGGGCCCTCTTGTGGGCTCCCCCGCTCCAGCTCACGGAGCTGAGCCGGTGCCCGTGCCGCTGCCCGCAGGTGGCCGGTCCGTCAGCACACCTGTGTCCAGCCACCGCCTGAAGCCCCAGGGCGAGGGGCACCCCTGGGGCCGCGCTCCAGACCCCCATCCTTACCACGCGCCGGAGGCCCTGCCCCCAGACCGAGCGGCCTTTCTGTGTCAGTGCAGGGGGTGGCCAGAAGGCAAAGGTCAGAGGCAAAGGTCAGGGAGCCGGGTCCTGCCGCCAGTGCAAAGGCAGGGCGCTGCGGTGGGGGAGGGGTCTCCCCAGCGTGTGCCCCAAGACCCCTCCCTCCTGTCCCCTGCCCCGCACCCTCCTCCAGCCGCCCCCGCCTGACTCCCAGGGGCCCGTGCACCCCTGTGGCCGGTGCAGGTCTGGGTCAGTGCAGGAGTGTCCTGCAGCCTCGGTGAGTTCCACCCCGGAGTGGGGTGGCCGGGACCACCTCTGGGTGGCCCCCACTGGGTGGCCCCCACTGGGTGGCCCTTCCTTCTCTGGACCCCATCTACCCCCGGACGGCTCCGGCTGGGCCGTCCGGGCGGCCCCGGGGAGGCAGTGGACGGTGGAGTCGGGGCCCAGCGGGAAGGGACATGGAAGAACCCGAGTGGGTGGGCCAGGTGGGGGGGTGTGGGGGCAGCACCTGAGACGCGTGGCCGCAGTGGGGAGCAGAAGGGGAGGGGGGCCGGGGGGTGGGGGCCCCGCCCTGGGCAGGGCCGCCGCTATTTACATAACTGAATTCATCACCCGTAAACACAGCGGGCCTGGGAACTCGGGGGGCTGGGCCTTCCCACAGAGCAGCCGGGCGGGCACCCCGGGACCGGGGAGGCGCGGCCCCCTGCTGACCCCCGGGGTCCTGTTGGGGGTGGCGGCCCCGGAGGTGTGCCCGCCCTGTGCTCCGGGGCAGGGTGGGGTGTGGAGCTCCCCCCCCCCCCCGCCAGCCTGCCTCGCCCCTGGCCCCCCAGTTGGGGCTCCGACTGCCTGCCCTGGGGGCTCGGGCGTTCCACCAGGTTCTGGAGCGGGCACTGCCCCCAGGGCCTGGCACCGGCCTGCCCGCCAGCCTGGGGGACCACACACCCCACCCTCCTGGTCTGCGGGGCGGACCAGGGTGAGCTGCAAAGCAAGAGGTGGCTGGGCAGGCGGTGCCGGCAGAAACCAGGGCAGAGGGGCTGGGGTTGGGGGCTGCGGGGACAGACGGAGGAGGGGGAGGGGACGGCGCCCCAGGCCCAGCTGCTGGTGGCTGCTGGGCCCCTGACTGCGCCCTGACCCATTACCTTCGACACAGATTTCTCCGCTCCCCTCGGTAGGAGCTACGGGCCTTTCATCCTCTGAACACGTCCTGTCACGTGGCTGCGCTGGGGCGCCGAGGGCGCTGCCGTGGGGGCCCCTCGGGCCTGAGCCGCGGAGCCCAGGCGCCAGGGACCCGACACCCCGCACCCACACCCGTGGGCACCACCGCCGACCAGACCGAGGGCCCCAGGCACGTCCGCGAGGCTGGGAGCCAGCGGAGAAGAGGGCAGTGGAGGAACCGGCTGGCACAGGGAACAGAAGAAAGTTCCAGAAAGGTGTTAACGACGCGGCAGGGCCTCAGAGAGATGGGGAAGAGGAGAGACCCTTCCCGCCCCGACGGGCACTCGGGAAAGCAGGCCGAGGGCGAGACGGGGCCCTGGGAAACCGAGATGTCCTGTCCGCAATGTCCCCACCGTGGCGGCAGCCGGAAGGGCCAGCTGAGGACCTCCCTCGGAAGCCGGCGCGAGGCGCTGGAGACGGCGGCTCGGAGAGGGGACGGGATGGCGGGGGCTCCTCGAGGGAGGCCGGGCACTCTCGCCCAGAGACTCCGGAAAGGGGCCCGGGAAGGGGAGACGCCCAGGAGCGTGACGGGAAGCGCGGCCGGCGGCCCAGCGCGCCCACCAGCGCACAGAGACAACAGCAGGCAGACGAGCCGGGGAAACGACTTGGCGAGTGGCAGCGTGGTGGAGTGCCAGCGCGACCGGAGTGAGTGGGAGGTTCTGGGAGTTCTGGAGGGAGCAGGTTTCCCCGGCCTGAGCGTGGTCAGGGGGACACCTGGAGGTCACCCTCGGGCACGCCACCCCCAGGGCCCATGGCCCACGTACGGGGCGCGGACTGGGGACGCCGCCGGGGCTGCGGCTCCCAGGAGCCGGAGGGTCAGCCGCTCTGCAGGTTGAACTCCGGGGTGCGAAGGCGGAGTCCAAACCCCAGAGCGTAAAACCGCCTGAGAGTCATCTGTGGCCGACCACAGGCTGAGACGCTCTTCCCGACACGGGGGTCCGCAGAAGGCTTCTCGGACACTGATGTCGCCCGTTCCCTGTTACTTGGTGGGCGTGGCTTGGAGGCGCGCTGGGCAGTGTTCTGTCGGGACGGGCGCTCCCTGAGCACAGTGCCTCCACGGTGACGTCCCCACCGTGGGGGTGTGAGCCGGACCGTGAGCCCCACGGAAGGGCACGGTGCCCCTGGACTGGGAGGCCCGTCCCCGACCGGGCCGTCAGGGAGCTGAGACCAGGCCAACGGCACGGGTCCGAGTGGTGGCCGGGGGGGGGGGCAGGGGACCGTGGGCAGGGATGGACAGCACAAAGCCTCGCACGCTGACCGTGATGGCGGGTTCTGGTGACGGCTGGAAGGGAAAATAAAGCAGGGTAAGGAGATAGTGAAGAAGCTTCCATTTTACTTTATTATCTATCTTCATTACTATTATTATTATAAAGATCTATTTCCCCTTAGAGAGAGGAGAAGGGAAGGAGAAAGGGAGAGAAACACCCATGTGTGGCTGCCTCTCGTGTGCCCCCTCTGGGAACCTGGCCTGCAACCCAGGCCGGTGCCCTGACTGGGGATCGAACCGGCGACCCTTAGGGTTTGCAGACCAGGGTTCAATCTGCTGAACCACTCCAGCCACACCAGCCAGGGCTCCTCTGATTATTTTTATTGCTGGCAATTGTACTTCTTAACCTGTTACATATTTGTATCTGTTTTAGATCTTTTTGGTTTGTATCTTTGTACCAGATCTTATCTGGTTTGTATCTTTTAAAAATACTGTGAAACATTTCAGACAAACGGAAGTATACAAAGTGTCAGTTGCCTGCACGGACCCCCTGCCGGGCCCACACCCGAGCCGACCAGTGAGTGCGCGGGCTCTCTCTCCCACATCAGTAACGTCAGTAACAATAACGTGAAAAGCCAGAGCGCGGACGCTCACCCAGCTGCCCCCCGCCCCCGCACTCCCTGGGGCCCCGGTCTCTCTCTCCGTGTGCCCACACCCGGGACACCGGGGAATGTGGACCTGGTGCATCACGTCAGCGGGACCTTCCCAAGGGCGCAGGGGCACCGACCGCAGACGGTGGGCTCCTGGGCTCAGGGGGAGGCTTGGCCGTCCGCCCGTGCTGGGCAACGCTCCAGGCCGTGGGGACCCGCCCGGCGCAGGGCCCCCGCCCGCCTGCACACACCTCCGGCCTCTCCTGGCGGGGCACCGCCGTCTCGGGGGGGGCGGGGGCGGCGTGCCCTGCCTGTCTGCTCCCCAGGACGGCGGTGCCAGGGCACAGCCCTAGCAGCAGGGATGGAGAGCTCCTGGGCACACCCTCCCCAGCACCCTCGTGTATTCCCAAACGCGCACAAGTGTCAATGTGATGGCCTGTCTCAAGGGTCGGATGGACTGAAGCAGGATTCACAGACAGGAGAAGCGAGTGGGTCAGCAGTTTTCAGCAGACAGAGTGTGGCCACAGGGGCCAGGCCGTCGGGGGAGCCGCCGTCCTCCACTGGGAGGGGCCTCGGCCCCCGGGCACGGGGCGGGGGGGGCCATAGCAGGCTGTGCACCGGGCGGGGTGGGAAGCAGTGAGAAGACCCGCGTGGGTCTATGGTTCTGGGTGAGTCCGACTCAGCACAGTTCTAGGCTGTTCGCCGAGACCCCATGGGACCCTCCCCGTCTCTCCCAGTGTCACCGCCCCCCTAGCCCCCCTTGGCCTGGTGCATTCTGCAGGAGCCCTGTCTCCCTGGACCCGCCCCCCCCCACCCGGGCTCGCCTCCCAGCCCGACGGCTCAGATGGGGCCTGTGGCTTGTCCCTTCCCTCCAGACCCTGAGCTCCTGGGTAAGGGGCGTCTTGCCCTGCTACCTGCTCTGTGTCCCTGCCCACCCGTCCCCTGCCAGGGCCACTGCCCCCTCCCCCGCCGCCCCTACTCTGTCGTTGACCCAAGCCTGGCACCAGTCGCCGCTGGAGGCCCCAGGCCCCTCCCGCCGCCACCATCCGTCTGAGAGGCCCCTGATTCAATCGAGGCGGCTGGAGGCTGACCTAATGCGACTCCGCGGAGCCTGATGACCATGAGGGTGGCTCGGGGCGGGAGGCGGCTGGCGGGACGGAGGACAGGACCTCGGCACCCTTCCCAGAGGGCGGGGGGGGGGTCCCTCGGGGGAACGGCGGCCTGGAGGACCCGGCGTCCGAGCACCAGCACCTGAAGCCCCACGGGACGCTCTGGTCGGGCCAGTACGACTCAGAGCTGCAGTGAGAGCCGGACGGAGGTCCCTGCTCCGGGCCGACTGTGCCCCCGCGGGCGCGGGACGAGGGCCTGGCCCCCAGCACCTCAGGACGCGTCTGCCTCTGCGGGGCGGGGGGGGGCCTGCACACCGACCGTGTGGGCAGCCTGGGTCGCTAGAGCGGGCCCGGGTCCAACCTGACCTCCAGGGCCTCAGGACAGACGCTCGCGGAGGGACGAAGGGCTCAGGACACGGGGAGGGGGGCCTCCGGGGAGACCACCCTGCCGACAGCTGGACCCCAGAGCCAGGGCCCTGGACTCCGAGGTGGGAACCGGCCGTCGGCAAAGCCCCGTGGCTGCGGCACCGGCCATCGCAGCCCAGGACGCGCGCGCGGCCACCAGGGCGGCGCCTGGAGTCCTCGCTCCTGCCGCCAGGGGGCGGGCTCCTCCGCAGACCGGGCTGCGGCCTGTACTCCCGGGGGCGGGGCTGCCTGACCTCCAGCCCCGAAAGGTCAGGAGTGGGGGACCCCCCACCCATACCTCAGCCCCCGCTTGGTCTCAGGCCGCTGCACCCCGGCCCGTGGGGGCCACTCGGGTCTTCCCAGAGAAGGTTCCGAGCCGACCCGCCGTGGGGGGCGGTGTCGCCCTCGGACTTGAGACGCAGGACAGCCGGGCTCAGACAGACGCCTGCACCCGTGCGCTCCGCGGCCCCGGGGAGGGAGCGGCCCGGACGCGGGCGCGGACGTGGAGGGACGCCGCGCGGCCGCCCACGCCGCGGGCCCGGGGTCGCCCTGGGAACGTCAGGGCGTCCCGACGCCTGCGGCCGCCAGGGGGCGCTCTCGGGAGCGGGGCACGGCGGGGTGGGTCCCGGGTCACCGCGCGGCGCTCGGACCCGGACCGCGATGCGGCG